GCTAACCGTCTTACAGTGCACACACTTTTTCACTTTACTCTTCTCTTTTGCACTACATGTTTCAGCACAAATGTGCCATCTTCAGGTGCGTTTTCTCTATGCACGTCTAACTACTGCATTGCGTGCCCTGATGTCTTCATACTAAAATGACTAAAATATATATTCGTCATATATATTAATAGATTTTAAATATTAAAACTTTTCAGCATTCGTCATCCTTACGCCGTAGCTCAATACACAAATCACGCCAATCCTCCTCTGTGAGAGCACTCTTCCTACATTCATGTGTATCTGTAACATGAAATTGTTATTCATTAATACCACATTCTGACTTATCTATTACGTGTGGTTTTATAATGTTTAATACTCACTGTGCTCTTTGTTGTGTCTTGCTCCTGTGACTGTGTGCGTTATACCACTGGATATGTGTGTGTGTGCTGTCTTCATTTTGATTGAGTTATGATGTTGTGGGGGTAGGTGGTGGGGTGTTGTTATGTTGTTATGTGTAAATAGTGTGTAATTCGTGAAATATTGGGTTATATATTTCTTTATTTATATTGTTCATATGCGTGTCTTTCTTTGTCGTTCTGTATATATGATAGTTTTCCAATGTGTTTAAGTATTGCCCTTTCTTATTTGTTGCTATGATATCCATAGTGTTTTCTATAGTACCATATGCATGTCCTGTGTTTAATATGTGTTCTCAGTATCCTGTATTGCTGTTATTGTGTCTTATGTCATGTATGTGTTCTTTATATCTGGTATTAAATTTCCTCCCAGTTCCTCCCTCATACAATATTAGTATGTCGTCAACATATCTTAAATATCCAATTATGTTCTGATTTTTTAATATGTTGTATATTTGTGCGTGTTCCATGTTCTGGATGTATATTTCTGCTAATATTGCAGATATATGATATAAACGAAACAAATATTGACAATATGATTATGGAATTTAATAAACTGCAGCCAATGATAAATTTCACAATAGAGAAAGAGAACCATAAATCTATAAATTTCTTAGATATAGGAATATATAGAGAAATGGAAAAGTTACAGTTCTCAATCCACCGCAAACACATAGCAATGGACATAATAATACCAAGTGACTCATGTCATCCACAAGAACACAGGATATCTGGTATTAAATACCTCACAGATTGAGTAAATAACTACCCCATTACCAGAATAGCAAAAGATAATGAGATAGATACCATAAACAACATACTTATAAATAATAAGTACAACACAGATATAATTACAAAACTAACTACAAATAACAGAAAACAAAACATTGCAAAAAAGCAGAACATTACAGAGAATTCAGAAGGACAAAAAACGAAATGGGCAACATTCACATACATATAGGAAAAGAAACAAGAAATATAACAAAAATATTTCGAGACACAAAATTAAAAATAGCATTTAGAACTAAGAACAATTTACAACATATATTAAAATCAAGACCACGAATAAATAAATATAACAATAGTGGCATATATGAAATGCCTAGATTGCCCCATGGAATATATAGGACAAACTGGGAGAAAATTTAATACCAGATATAAAGAACACATACATGACATAAGACACAATAACAGCAATACAGGATACTGAGAACACATATTAAACACAGGACATGCATATGGTACTATAGAAAACACTATGGATATCATAGCAACAAATAAGAAAGGGCAATACTTAAACACATTGGAAAACTATCATATATACAGAACGACAAAGAAAGACACGCATATGAACAATATAAATAAAGAAATATATAACCCAATATTTCACGAATTACACACTATTTACACATAACAACATAACAACACCCCACCACCTACCCCCACAACATCATAACTCAATCAAAATGAAGACAGCACACACACACATATCCAGTGGTATAACGCACACAGTCACAGGAGCAAGACACAACAAAGAGCACAGTGAGTATTAAACATTATAAAACCACACGTAATAGATAAGTCAGAATGTGGTATTAATGAATAACAATTTCATGTTACAGATACACATGAATGTAGGAAGAGTGCTCTCACAGAGGAGGATTGGCGTGATTTGTGTATTGAGCTACGGCGTAAGGATGACGAATGCTGAAAAGTTTTAATATTTAAAATCTATTAATATATATGACGAATATATATTTTAGTCATTTTAGTATGAAGACATCAGGGCACGCAATGCAGTAGTTAGACGTGCATAGAGAAAACGCACCTGAAGATGGCACATTTGTGCTGAAACATGTAGTGCAAAAGAGAAGAGTAAAGTGAAAAAGTGTGTGCACTGTAAGACGGTTAGCTTAAATCATGTACATGAGTCAGTGCAACAAGACGCTAAAATATAACACTATCCTTCAGTATCATATAATTTGTGCTGTGGATAGTGTTGCTAAGTAAGTCATGTATACATAACCAGGGGTCTGCATGTCAGGGCATTTACCCTTACTCCACCAAGATCTGTTTTACATTTTTTAGTTTTTCTTGGGCATTCCATTTCTTATGCCACCACAAATCTCTGCATCTCCATCAATAGCTGCCTATGAGTCTGTTTGGCACATATCCCACCTCAAGTCTGGACTATCCCCTCTCACTGAGTAAACATTATTTTCTGAACTGTTGAGTGCAGACATCCCCTGTTATGAAATTATGAACCAGGACTTCGAGTCGTGCATGTTGTAATATTTTAAACTCTTTAAAGATACAAATAAAAATCCCTTGTGGGTGGGGATATATTTTACAGTGCTGTCAATAGTATGTAGTGTCTGATGGTTGGGTGACAAATGAATTGGAAAGGATTTGGAAGGAAGCAGCCTGGCCTAATCAAGGTACTGTTGCAGCATTTGCCTGTCAGGACTAAGGAAAACCACAAGGAATCTCCATCAGGATAGCTAGTGTCCTAGTGAAGATCTGAATTGTGTGCCTCCCAAGTATGTCTAGTGCTGTGCCATCACATTTGGTGATGCAAGTAATACTCTTCTGTAGAGTTTGTGTGTTTTTCTTTATGGTATGTATGTTATCTCCGAGCATATTCACATCATCAGCATAGACAGTAGCTGATATATTCTGTTTAATTTTAGTCCCACCAGGTTTTCCTGGACATATTCTAAAGCAAAGTTGAAAAGCAGTGGCAATAAAGCATCTCCTTGTTTTAAACCATTTTGGGTAGAAAACATATCAAACAGATGTTCACATACACAGACTTTACTGTAGGTTTTTTTTAAACATAGTTTAACCTAACTATTTTCAAGTGTACCCAAGACTCTATAGAATATTGTGCAATACCTTCCTCCTAACTGATTCATAGGCTTCAATAGTTAATTATAGCTTTTTTTATTGGTAGTGGGGTGGGACTAAGTCCCTTGTACTGCGGCCACTTCTGGCCTGTTGTACCAGCCCCAGATGATAGGCGAGAGTGATTGTGGATCAATTGGTGGAATGAAGATTGGCAGGGGAACTGAAATACTCGGAGAAAATGAGCCCCAGCACCACTTTGTCCACACAAATCACACTTGACCAGACCTGGGATCGATCCCAGGCTGCCGCAGTAGGAAGCAGATGACTAACCGCTTGAGCTATGGGGTGGCCTAATTATAGTTGCCATTGCCATGAAATGCAGTCCATTAATGTAGTCATAATTTTTTCAACTGTTAACAGTGAACCATATTTCTCTTAATGGAGGCTACAGCAATTTTTAAATTGTATTCTTTATTTCATAGTGTAAACAGTCGAACCTGAACTGACTTCGCACACTCATTCCATCATTTATGAGGTATCCTTTCTTCTCAGTGTCCTTTAGTTTGTACTATAAAATTTTATATTATATTAAAATATTATTTAATTTTTCATTCTTTTCAAATGATTTATTCAGTTTTGTCTCTGTTTATATGTTTTGTACCAATTGTATTTTCAGTTCCTTCCTAATATTTTCAGTCCCTTCCTAATATTTTCAGTCTTAATGTTTTCTAGTCTAATGCAGCCTTGAAGTGTCTCGTCTATCCTGATTATATTCTGTTTATATGTCTTTAATTTTCCAAGATTCACTTCTGTAGAGCAAGGCACTTACATATTTCAGCTGTGTTTCTGAAAAATGTACAACATATTCCATCATACATATTAAGTTTAAGTCTGTATATAGTGTATATGTTGAGACACTTCCTAGGTAATTGAAATGAGATATCTGCTGTAGGAGAGGCCAATTGTTATTCAAAATTAGTTTGGTTCTAACTGGAAACTTGTCTTTGAATGCTGTAAATTTTCATTCTTTAATTGAAATTTTCAGATTATGTGTATTACTAGCCCTGTGTAAAGTATAGTATAAGAGCTGTAACCTATCCTGATTATCTTGTGTTACAATTTGATCATCCATAGATAGTAATGTATTTAAGCACTGTCCTTTTCTTATTCTAATTTCTGGGTCACATTTATCTTTCCAGGTTCACAAGAGATTGACAGAATAAATATTAAACAGATTAGGAGAAAGACTATGACCTTGTCTTATTCCCTAATTTAATATTATTTCTTTCGTAGGTCTTAAGCACAATAGACCACTGTAGGTCGCGGTGCAAGGGCCGAGGAGGCCTACCCCTCATACATTCATTCATTCATTCATAGGCCCTCTATTAAAGTTCAAAGTTTCTAAAAATCATGTGAGAAGTACAGTGGAACCTCGCTTAATGAGCAAAAAAATCGTAAAAAAATGACTCACTTAACGAGCAACGTTTCGCATAACGAGTGATGAGAGGGGAAGTCCCGGATTGTGCGCTTGCTGCATCAGCCTGTGTTTAGCACTCGTTCCGCTAGCATCTTAGTGTATTCCAAACTTTTGTTCATAGATATTATTTGTGATTTTTTTTGTGCAAAGTTTAATAACCCTTGCAAAAATGTCCCGAAGAAAAGGCCGCAAAAAGACAGCCATAAGAGAATAAAAATAACCGTAGAAATGAAACGTAAAATCATTGAAAAGCGAGAACGAGGTGTGAGCGTGGCTGAGCTAGCACGCACATACAATCAGTCTACATCAACGATTTGCACAATTCAGAGTTGCATTGTGTTTCACAGCAAGAAGTTGTGGAGGAGAGTTTGTCAGAGGAGGAGGAGGAGGTAACAGCAAAGCAACAATCTTCTGGCGCAATAAGAGAAATGCTGAAAGCATGGGAAACTGTTGCATCGTACATTGAGAAGCATCACCCTAATAAGGCAGTGGCTATGCGCACTACAAATTTATTTAATGATAATGGTGTGTCGCATTTTCACCAAATGTTGAAGCGTCAGCAAAAACAAATGTCTCTAGACAGCTCTCTAGTAAAAAAGAATTAGATATGTATCATAAATAATAAAAAAAAAATTGAAATAATTAGTTTTTTTTTCTGCAAATCGAATTCGCATTGGAGGTTAGTTCATTCCACATAGAAGAAAAGATGAAGATGATTCACGCTCCTTAACAATGTATATATAATTTTCTTTGAATAAACGTTATACATAAATTTTTTTTAGTATTATTTTCGGTATGGAACGCATTATCGTATTTTACATTAATTTGTATGGGAAAAATTGTTTTGCTTAACGAGTGTTTCACATTACGAGTAAGATTCTGGAACGAATTATGCTCATTAAGTGAGGTTCCACTGTACTGTCAAATTCCAATGTCTGGTGAAACCTGATGTTTCTTCATTTTACAATTGGAATATGCAAGGAGAGCTCCATTTCTGCCATCTGAATTTGATTCCAGAAGATCTATTAAGATATAGCCTTCCTGTATGTTCTGGCCATCAGACAAAATGTTGTCCCTTACAGCAGTTTTTATCTATGTGTAATCTGAAAGTGCAGCTTTTTATGTTTTTGTTTTAACAGGTCATGCCAAGAAAGTACGTGGAGCAATGACTACATTACTCTGAACAGTCTTCCAACTAGTGGATATGAAGCAGCAGATTGTGTACAAGACTTTTCATACCTGTTTCCATGTCAGGTGTGTGGGAACATGTCAACTGTTGTAGATGAACTTATAAGACACTGGAGACTTCACACCGGAGTTGATTCATTGACGTGTACTGTTTGCTATGTATCATTCACAGATGTACTTTTCCTCCAGGCACATTGGAAAGCAACTCACATGGGAGGTGTATGTTCTGACTCTGGAGTGGTGTTAAGAAATCAGCCTGAATTCTTGCCACAGCTTGTTTGTGAAGCTTGTGGCTTTTCATTTGTACAGTTTTCTGCCCTTGAACAGCATGTAATGTCAACACACATTCCTATTACACAACACAGAGAAAGTGTGTCCTGGAGATCAAGTAACAATTTGGGATCATTGTATGGTGGTACCAACTCTCAGCAGAATAATGTAGTAAACAGTAAAAATCCTCAAGGTATTCCAATAATAAATAACCACTCCTTAGCAAAACAATTCACAGTATTAAAAAGTAATATAATAGGAACTGATGGCCAGGATCACTCAGTTATTGAACTGGAAAATAATGTATTGGAAAGTAATATTACAGAACATTCTATGATTAGGCATTCAGCAGCAGTGGCAAATAACGTGACAGAATCTGATGATGACCCAGAAGATGTGGACACTGAAGGAGATCATCATTCATCAGTGGACAGCAGAAAGGTCGAGTCTCTTTCTGGTCAGAATGGAAAGCTGTTCAAGTGTAAAGTATGTGGAAGTAACTCATACGATGTGAATGCACTCATAAAACACTGGAGGATACATATTGGAGCTAATTCCATGACATGTACCATTTGTAAAAAAACATTCTCAGATTTGCCTTTCCTTCAAGCCCATTGGAAGCGATCACACTTGCAAGGTAATCCAGTTCCAACATCAGTCAGCAAAAATCATTTAGCACATAATGAATCTTTGGTATGTGAAGCTTGTGGATATGCATTCCCTGATTTAACGGCTCTTGAGCAGCATTTATTGTCAACACATGTTACTGCGAGTTCATCTCATGTTCCTTTGAAAAACGTGAATTATGCAGACAATACACAGACTATGCCTCATGCTCACAAACAGAATGTGACACTAGGTAAAACAAAATCTCTTGATCTTATAACTCATAGAATTCAAGTAATGAATAACTACAAGAAGAGAGATGTAGAAAAGCAGCCAGAGACAGAGGGGTGTAAGGAAAGTGAGGACCCTGCAGAGATGAAAGAAAATGCGAAGAAACTAAATAATAAGTATAGTGATTTGGGTTCTAAAAGGAATAAGGACCGTGATTGGTGCCTAGTCTGTGGAGAAACTTCAGATGATATGATAAAACATTTAATAACGCATACTGGAGTTTTGTCTTTGGAGTGTTGTCTGTGTGGAAAGGACTTTGTTGATATACCATTCCTTCAAGCACACTGGAGAGCTACACACATGGATGGAGAGGTTTGCCAAATTAACAATTGTGTATATGTAGGAAATTACAAAGCAAATGTTTCTCATAAAGAGAAGCTGTTGTGTGAAACGTGTGGTTGTTATGTGCCTCAAATTTCTGCCTTAGAGAAACATATAATATTGACTCATACTGTTGTAAGACCACCATATGAATGCAAGTGTGATGATGTGTTTCCCTCTGAAGCTGAGTTAAAGAGACACATATTAACATGTAGTTGGTAAGTAAAGTTCCTGCATTGTATACATGAACAGATAATATTATTTTGTGAAATAAAATGTTATGAAGCCTTGTATTAAATGAAGTATTCTCTGAATATTAGCAATAGTAGATTGGTATCCTTAATAGTGTAATGATATCACTGTCTAAGAAAAACAGAAGACTAAGAACATCAAGTTGCCTTTCTGCAGGTTGATATGACCAGTGTGATCAACCAGGACAATAATCAAGTGTACCAAGAATATATGGAGTTTGTTATCTTTATATTAAAGTAATATGACCTGAAGGATGCCTAAGTTCACTGACTTTTGATGTTATGATCCATATAAATTTATGTTGCAGTGGCGATTGTCTGATTTCTTTATTACACCCCATCATTATACTTTAATTATTAACAGTGAATAATAATTATGACATGACTGTGTTCAATTACGCATGATAAGGAAGTCTCACATTGTACAGTAATCTGGTCTTTGACTTTCACCTGCAGTGGCAGGCAACTGAGAGCTGGAAAGCTGAGCTTGAGAGCTCGCTGTGATAATCAGCTACATACTTCAAAGTGTGTAGTTATCATTATGTTACACTAGTGTAGTTATAAAGAGGCACATAACCTTGCTTACGATAAATTATTGGTTGATGCCACAATAAAAATTATACCAGTATGTAATGCCAAGTAATTTTTTATCATATAATGAATTATTTGAAATCAGAATTGCTCACTTGTGTTATATTACATGTTTAGTAACAAAACTTGCCTGTCTTCTGTCAGGCAACACTGTGATAGGCGTGGCATGGGCCGGATGGCTGATGAGGCAAGGGTAGGATAGGTGAAATCATGTTGGCTGGCTATGGTAGACTCTGCCCAGCTTGGGTAGGCTTGGTTTGGCATGCTATAATTTGGTGGACCAAAGAATTTCCATGATCTGTGAGCCAAGAGTTGCTAGGAGGGAAAGACCTATTCCTCCACCATAGAGTTTGTCTGCCGATGCCTCTCACCCAACACTCTGGAAAGAGTAATGCAGTCCTGCCAAAGATTCCTGGTAGAGTAAGGAGAGCATACATTATGTAAAACAAAAAGACATTCTGAAGTATTTTGATGGTCACTTTTAGTGTATAAGATATCNTAAATTGTTACAATTAATATTTTGCTGGACATTATCCATCATCTTGTCTATTCTAAAAAACAGTCTAATTTCTATTAAAAAACACAACGTTTCGGGAACTGGATTCTGTCCCCGTCTTCAGGTAAAACCTACTCAGTTGGGTCCAATAGACAGAGCTAGCCCCTATCTCCGGACAACTATGCCAATTTCCGAAGGGATTCATAAAAGAAGCACAACTCAATCCATCTGTGAGAGGTAAGAGATATTGAAGCCATCATAATTTGAGGCCTAGCACCAGAGAAAAATTTCCAGAATGAAATCATACCGGGAGAGAAGCAATACCCCTTGTGGTATACAAGCACAACAAAATCATCCGTGGGAGCTAAGAAATATTGAAGATATCATAATTTGAGTCTTAGCACCAGAGAAATATCGTGAATGAAATCAATACCGGAAGAGAAGCAATACTCCTTGTGGTACCAACATATGAAACCAAAAGTTACCCAAACCAACTACACTAGATGTCGCTGTAGTCTCTTGATTTCTGCTGTAACGACAGGGGCCCAGATGGGAGAGATATCCACACTGGGTTGACTGATTGGATGGTCCAGCAGAGACATGTGGGCTGATTCCTTGTATCTTCTATATGTGGTGTTGGGTTCGATCTGCAAGACCTTCGCTTCATTCCAAAGAATTTTGTGATCTTCCTCGTATGCATGTTGGGCCAATTTAGACTTTTCCAGCAAACCCTGTGTCATATTATATTTGTGCTCCTTAATGCGTACTTCTAGGGGTCTGCTAGTTTCACCGATGTAACATCTGCCGCAGTCGCAAGGGATGCTATACACACACTGCTTCGTTTTCTGGGCATCTCTACTGGGTCCAGTTTTCATTAATGTCCCCCGGAGTGTAAGTTTCGTTTTGAAGATTGTTCTAAGCTGAAAACGATTCCCGATGCGTCTGAATTTCTCGGCGATACCCTTGACATACGGAATGATTACAGTGCCCCGGTATGTTGTGTCTGAAGAGGGACGATTTCTTGTCGATGGCTTCAATACAGAGTCCACGAATTCTTTAGGATATTCGCTGAGCATTAGATCATGTCTTATGTTTCTGATTTCTTTACTAAAATCCTTCTTGTTTTGACATATGACCTTCGCTCTGTTGATCAAACTATGAACAACTCCCCTTTTTACGTGGTGTGGGTGATTGGACTTGAAGTGAAGATAACGACCAGTATGAGTAGGCTTTCGGTACACTTTGGTGGTCAGTTTTGGACCCTGCTTCATAACCAAAACATCCAAGAATGGAAGTGCATTGTTGACTTCAACTTCCATGGTGAATTTGATGGTAGGCCTGATGTTATTAATATGTTGAAGAAATTTCTGTAGCTCTTCCGGTCCATATGGCCATATCACAAACGTGTCGTCGACATATCTCAGCCATTTTGCAGGCTTGTATTCAGCTGTGTCTATTGCTATTTCTTCGAAATGCTCCATGAATATATTACTGACCACCGGGGATAGTGAGTTTCCCATTGCCATACCTTCCTTTTGCTGGTAGAACGTATCTTCAAACTGGAAGTATGTGGTTTTTAAACAGATGTCCAGTAGTTCCATCACGTCTTCAACTTGTAGAGGTGAGACAGACTCAGAATGGATTCTTCCTTCCCAGAACGCTTATAGAGCAGAGGTATACAAATAATACGAATAAGAGTAAAAGTAAATTGTTTGTGTGACGAGACCAAAATTGCATAGAAAATGATTTGGTTAAAGGACAGTCTTAAAATTTACTAGAGTTGGGCCTATGCCAGATACAGCTTTCACTTTCCCAAAGTTATTGGAGCTCGCCTAACTCTTGACAGTCTTCAGGACATTTTCAATTGTTATACGTGTATATAGTTTTGGTCTAGAAACGTCCAGCGAACGGTTAACATGGGGGGTATTTGGGCATAGATGGAAGGATACTATTAAAATTGTTCTTGGAGGAATTGTGTCGAAACTACACTGAACTGGAGTATAAACATTAAATTGACGGATCTTTTTGAACAGGAGAGTCTTATCATCAGGTTACATAAAAGCGGGAAATTTTGTCACAAGCTACTATTAACGATTCAACAAATGTACTACACCGTGAAATATATTATTTAGATGTGACAGGACAATTTGAATGACAATTCAAATAGTCGTGACCTATTTTAAGATACATATTACTTTCACGGTGTACATTTGGAGGGACTGATGAAACCGTCAAAATACGTCACCCAGGATTCGAAATAGGTACCTGCCACCTGCATAGCTGTTATCATAATTCACACATTGTCAGATTATACATAATAGTCCATTATATACGAGGGGTGACCCAAAAATAACCGGAATTTATTTTTGCATTTTTATTGAACTGTACATTAGTCCACTTCAGAGTAGTGTCCATGTGCATTAATGCACTTGTCCCAACGCTTTTGCCACTGCTCAAAACAGTCCTGGAATTCTTGAGGCTGGATACTGTTCAAAGCCTTTAGCGTGTTTTCTTCGACTTCATCCACATCACGGAATCGCTTTCCTTTCAGACTTCTCTTCATCCGTGGAAACAAAAAAAAAAGTCCGACGGAGCCAGGTCGGGTGAGTAAGGTGGATGAGGCACAATCACCATGTTGTTGCTTGTCAAAAACTGTCGGACCATCAAAGCTGTGTGGGCTGGAGCATTGTCGTGGTGAAGCAACCACTTCCCATTTCTCCACATTTCGGACCGATTTCGTCGCACACTCTCTCGTAATCTTCGTAACACATCCAGGTAAAAATGTTGGTTCTCTGTTTGTCCTGGCCGAACGAACTCTTTGTGGACAATGCCATTCACATCAAAAAAACAAATCAACATTGTTTTCACATTGAATCGCACTTGACGCGCTTTCTTCGGTCGTGGTGAAGTTGAAGTTTTCCACTGGCTTGATGATTGCTTTGATTCTGGATCATACCCGTAGCACCAAGACTCATCGCCAGTCACAATTATTTTAAGAAATTCTGGATCGTTCTGCACTTCACTCTTCAAGTCGCGGCAAACATTCACGCGGTTTTCTCTTTGGTCATCTCCGAGCAAGCGAGGAACAAATTTTGCAGACACCCGTCTCATGTGCAAACCTTCGGTTAAAATTCGCTGGACCGTGCTCCATGAGATGTTCGTTTCCTCAGAAAGTTGGTCAATGGTCTTTCGACGATCTTCATCAATTGCACGTTTGATTTTGGCAATGTTTTCGTCATTTCTTCCTGTCGAAGGACGCCCGGGGCGTGGCATGTCTTCTGTTGACATGTTGCCAGATTTGAAACGGGAAAACCACTCGTAGACCTGTGATTTCCCCAAAGCATCATCATTAAAGGCTTGCCGAAGCATCCCAACGGTCTCGGCTGCAGTTTTCCCTAACAGAAAGCAAAATTTCACGCACACTCTTTGTTCCTTCTGGTCGGCCATCTCACTAATCGCCAAAGGATTGAAACAGGAACGCACACAACAAAGCACCACAGACAAACCACTTAACTCAGACTGACGCCAGCTCACTAACAGTTGCGGGAGACCCCCAGCTAACACCACCTAGCAGCACAACTCGTAACTACAAAGCATGCGCGCGCAACAGGTCGGTTCCGGTTATTTTTGGGTTCCCCCTCGTACACTTATCTTCTATTCATTAACTCCAACTTTTTAAGGGTTCAAGTGCCATGATCTCCATCTACTGTAGACTACGCTACCTTAAGTTCTTTTTCTGTCTTTCGTAATAGACCCTCTGACCTGTTCCCATCAGGTTAATTAATCTGGAACTATGGATCTTTACAGACTGTTTGTAGGACTCCTTGAAAGGGCGATCAGCCCTGTCGCCAGGCCGTTACTTACACAAACACAATAATCGCAGACAGACAGACATGCCCTGAGTGGGATTCGAACCTATGACACCAGTGTTAAAGCAGCCGAAGGCATTTCATGCTTTAGACCTCTTGACCACTGTGCTCGGCTATTACCACAAGTAAATTCGCGCAGTTGTGTTTTCCTATGAAATGTAACTGCATTTTACTGGATCCAATCCGCGGACCATGGGTTGTATATACGTTTCCGCATATTATCATACACCATTCCAGTGAGTGCATTCATGTCTTAATTTAAAGGGACCAGGGAGGTCATATCAGTGTAGGGGATTCCTCCTACCGTCAGAAACACCGTGGCAGAATAGTCCCACAGGAACACGTGACACTTTAGAGCTGTCAAAATGCCACGACTGCATTACTGGCGCGTCATGTCACACCCCTCCGAGAACCACTGCTGTCTCCCAAGGGGTCAGCATCATAGTGTAATCGCAGACAGATCGGCACTTACCATCTCTCTGTTCACTTAAATCCACTTGGTGCAGAGGTTACAAGCAAAGGAAGAAAAGCCATAGACGAACAGGAACGATGTTTTCTCTGCGTTTTTAAATTTACAGACATTTCACGTTCTGGTGAATGTTATACTTGTTACAGTGCTAGTATTCGCTTATCTAT